TTTTTCAGTAAATATTAACTCCCCAAGAAGTCTCTGAAATACCTGAAAGAAAAAAAAAGTCCCAGCAGGGAATAATGGCATTAGGTTTCTCTCTTGCAAACTCAGAACAATTTGGGGGGGGGGGTTTCTCAGTCTATTAAAAAGGTTTCCAAGGCCACCTGGGTGTGGAGCTTGATTTCTGATGCCTGTCATGAACACAGGATTAGGTGGCTATGACGCAAACAAGCAGATTCTTCTGTTCTCACGAGTCATTTTTGCGACACGTCCATAGCCTAACGGTCCCTCATTTTGGTCTGTTAAAAGTTTTACAATCTGCATAAAGTAATTAGTGTTTTATTTTTTTTAAAGATTTTTATTGGGGAACTGGGGGATGGGAACAGCGCTGGGGAATTGGGGGAAGGGGAACAGACAAGTTGCTGTCCTTTTGTNAAAAAAAAACATTCAGGGGGAAACTTCGACCTCCCCACAACTGCCTAAAAGAATTTAGATAGAGGACCTGCTCCAGAAAGGGAGTCATCATTATAGATAACCATAGTTGAGCACAAACTGGGTGTGATAGACAAGGAAGAACCTAGCAAGGCCTGTTTGATCCAAGTCCTGTGTCCCGTTGTTCAGATGACCCAGCAAGCATTGATTTACCAAACATTTGCTTTCATCTGAACTGCCTTCCTCCCCTCTGAAGTCCCGAACTACAACACGCATCCCACCCCTTCTCTTTAGCTCAGGGTGGCATACGAGCCTTAACTGCTGGGTTTGTCCTGGGGTCCCACATTCTTAGGGAACCTCTGTATGCACCTAAGTAATACATTTGGTTATTTTCTCCTGTTAATCTGTCTCATGTCAATTTGATTATTAGACCAGCCAGCAGAACTCAGAAGCGTAGACGGAAAATTATTTTTCCTCCCTTACAAATGGTTTTGCTGTATAATAGACTGGTCATTTTATTGCATCATTAAGAGGAAGTCTGGCAAACATGCATCTTTAAGACTTAAACATGTTTTTTCACTTCTTCCCAACGATCACCCCTCCCCTTAGATTCCAATTCCAGTCCCACTCGCTGCTCCGTGCTTCTTTCTGCCCTCCTCTCCATGGGGCCCCCTGGAACCCTGACCAGGCGTTAGCAAAACCCCACCTGCCCTAGCTCGCCCCCTGCTTCCTCCTTCCCCTTCCTGAGGCCGCTCTCCGCAGGGTGGGCTCTCTCTCAAGCCTCCGGAGGTGCCTGGGTTCTCTCACACCAGCCCAGAGAAGCCCTCTTGGTCCCTATATTGCTTCTGGACTATTCTCACTCCCTGCCTCCCTGGATCCTTCCTCTCCTCTTGAGGGTTTGTGCGCCTGGCTCACTCTTGCTCTATATGTCACCCCGGTCCTGACTTGGGGCTAACTCACTGCTCACAAAGTGACTCAGTTCCTTGGCCCCTCCACTCTGTTGTCTTGTCCCCTCATTCCCTTGGCCAGAAACCATACCACGTGTCCAGTCCATTTACTCTCCTTGTCCTAGACACTCTCTCACCTTCCCACTGTCCCTCACTAATTAACTCCTTGTCCCATCTGCCCCCTAAGTTGGTGACTTACAATTCCCCTGGGGAAATGGAAGCGATCTGGAGAAGGCTTCCAAGCTTCCCGCACCAGCACTCTGCCCCTCATGGTAGGGACAACCTGCCCCTTCTCTTGATGACATGTCCACTTTCTCCTTATTGCATATTTCTTGGCTCCCCCTTTCAGGAAAACTCTTCAAAAGTTTTCTGCGGCCGGCC